TTTCCTTGCTATGTCTTTTTTAATGATAGGTTTGAATAACAGTAGAATTGCTTGATACTCATTTGGTAATAATTTACATGTCTGATTCTAAAATTCATCATTTAGCCAATAAGTAGATTTAAAGGCATGAGTTGTGCCAAAGGTAACATAAGCAGGTTAGGAAATACATAGACTCAAGATCTGAACTACAGGTGGTCCTCAACTTATGACCATAGTTGAGCCCCAAATTTCTGTTGCTAAGTGAGACAGTTGTTAAGTGAATTGTGCCCCATTTTACGACATTTCTTGCCACAGTTGTTAAGTGAATCACTGCAGTTGTTAAGTTACTAACATGGTTGTTAAGTGAATCTGGCTTCCCCATTGGCTTTGCTTGTCAGAAGGACGCAAAAGGGGGATCATATGACCCCGGACACTGTAGCTGTCATAAATATGAACCAGCTGCCAAGCATCTAAATTTTAATCATGTGACCATGGAGATGCTACAACGGTCGTAAGTGTGAAAAACGGTCATAAGTCACTTTTTTCAGTGACGTTGTAACTTTGAACGGTCACTAACTAAACTGTTGTAAGTCGAGGACTATCTGTAGTATCTGTCCCACACATACCTATGCTAACATTTCATGTTCACATTTAAATGAAGGAAAAGAACAATTGAAATGGCAAACATCATATTATGAGCGTTTGTGAGTTTCTTGCATGTAACGCTCTGGTACCCAGCTTCAAAAAAAAAGAAGCATTATTTTGGAATTTTACTTTTGGAAAGCACCATAAGGACCCCATCTTGGAGGAGAACTCTTAAGTAGCTACAGCTGGACTGAAGAACAATAAAGCAAGAATATGTCACCATTATTCTTGGCCAACAGTTGCATATTGCCTTGAAGTAGATTGCCAGAAAGTTGTACTGCAATAGTTGGGGAAGACTAGGAAGAGAACTAAATTTGATTTCACTTAAACATTAAGTTTACTACAATTAATTTGACTACTCCCTATACATGTAATAGATATGAGAACTTTTGAAGGAGCTCTGGGGGATGGACCAAAGGAGCTTGAGGCCACACGCAGCCAGAGATGCCAGGTCCTGCACTTGTGTGATGAAGGAATTTCTCGTATTTGCAACTAAAAGGCACATTGTTGGTTACCTCACAAGGAAAACAAAGATCAAAAGTTAATAAAATGTAACATTTAACGTACAGGTAGTTCTCGGCTTACGGCCACAATTGAGTCCAAAATTTCCATAGAATAGAATAGAATAGAATAATCTTTATTGTCACTTTGAATGTACCCTAATTGACATACATTAAAATGAAATTTCATTGCATTCAGCTCTCAAAGGGTCACCACCCTTTGTTAAGCAAGATAGTTGTTAAATGAGTTGTGTTCCATTTTGTGATCTTTTTGCCATGGTTATTAAGCAAATCATTGAAGTTGTTAAGGGAATCATGTGGTTGTTAAGGGAATCATATGATTTTCCCTTGGACTTTGCTTGTCAAAAGCTCCCTAAGAAAGTTGCAGATGACAATCCTAAGATCTGGGATGCAACCATCATAAATCCATGCTGCAACCATCGTAAATCCATGAACCCAAAGTTTGATCACATGACTGTAGGGACGCTGCAAAGGTCGTAAGTGTGAAAACTGGTCATAAATCACTGTTTTCAATGTCATCGTAGCTTTGAACAGTCATTAAATGAACGATTGTAAGATTGTATTGGATTTCAGCTTGGTGTTTGCTGAATGATGTTAAAGTGATGAGGCATGTTAAAGTTATGAAGGTTTAATTAATTGATATTTTTATCTACAATTTTGCTTTGCATTTAGGTAATGGATTTATTTTAATTCTGTCTGTCCTTTCAAACAGATATTGGACGTGAACTAATCAAATGTGGGAGCAAATATGTCTGTAGAAAAATTAATCATATTTGATCAGAGCTCAACATGTGGAAGTCAGGAAATCAGCTAATCTGATATTGCACAGTTTTGGAAACACATCAAGAAACTTCTTATACTAAATACAAAACTGTCTTTGTAGATATAACCTATGAAGAATGGTGAAAAATCAAAATAACAAAGCATTCATTCTAGTTGGTTTGTTCCCGTTGCTAATAATTTCTTAACTTCATTTTGGTTGTATTTGAAATATACAAGAAACATAATTCCTGATTAGCCATCATTTTGTTATTCTATGGTATTTCTGATAGCCCACTAGCTTTATAGAGGTTCCTTGTGTTATATGTGTGCACCTTTTGTTTTCTTTAAATGTAACTGTATCATCTCATTCTGATGTCTTCTTTTTTTAAAATCAGTTTTATTCATTTATAACATAAAATGTGACAATGCAAAGGCAACAGTAGAAAAAGGGAAAACAAAAAAGGTGTGAAGAAAGGGAGGGGAAGAAACAAAAGGCATTGACTTCCGACTCTCTGTTGCAGTAAAATCAGACATTAAAATCAAATCTCAGCTTTTCACATTTCTATAATAGTAGGCACTAGCTATTTCTGCATCGGCATATCAGTCTAATCGGTAAAACCCAAAACCATGACATCATTTTTTTCCCACCTCAGGCACAAAGTCCAGAAGCGGTTTCCAAGTAGAAACAAAAGTACTTATGTTCTTTTCTTTTATCAGCAGTTAATTTTGGCTATCTCTGTTAATTCCATCAGTTTTTGTAACCGTTACGTCCATGGTAGGAATCGAGACATCCTTCCACTTTTGTGTGTAGAGCAATCTTGCTGCCGTCACCATATATAAAATCAGAGTTCCAATTTTTCCCCCAGTTCTCTTTCCATTAGGCCCAGAAGGGAAGTTTCTGGTTTAATCTTTATGTTCACTTTAAGACTTTTCTCCATTAGTATATGAATCCTACTCCAATATTTCTTTGCCTTATCACATGTCCACCATAAATGAGAAAAAGACCCTTATTTACATTTACATCTCCAACATTCATTTGAAATACCTTCCTCTGAGGTCTTCTGATGTAGAGACAACTTAAAATAAGCCAATTTCTGCTCCCATCAGCCTCCTCTATAAGCAAAGATTCCTTTTATGCAATGTATTGCGTAAACTCATCTTATCTCTTTGATATGCTGGTTCTTATTTTTGTCATTAAAATCCTGTATGCTTTTAGCTATTATACTTGTTTGGTAAAATAAACATTAAGCCATATAAGCTATATAGACACTTCTGATAACTTTTTAGGTAGTGCAGCAAAAAAGTGAAGGCAGAGGCAAGCAAATGTGATAGATCAGGGGTCCCCAACCCCCCGGTCCATGGCATGCCAGAAATCGGTCCCACACAAATAAGCAAAGCCCCATCTGCGGGATGCAGGCAGCACATGAAACCACGCCCCCCTTGATCTGCAGAGACAGACAGACAGATGTTAGAATAGGTTCTCTATACAGGTAGTCCTCAACTTACAACAGTTCATTTAGTGACCATTCAAAGTTCAACAGCACTGAAAAAAATGACTTATGACCGTTTTTCACAGATATAACCTTCGCAGTATCCCCATGATCATCTGATCAAAATTCAGATGCTTAGCAACTGGTTCATATTTATGATGGTTGCTGTATCCCAAGATCATGTGATCCCCTTTTGTGACCTTCTACAAGCAAAGTCAATAGGGAATCTAGATTCACTTAACAACCAGGTTACTAACTAATCAACTGCAACGATTCATTTAACAATGGTGACAAGAAAGGTTGTAAAATGGGGCATAACTCACTTAACAAATGTCTCCCTTAACAACAGAAATTTTGGGCTCAGTTGTGGTTGTGAGTTGAGGACTCCCTGTAATCTAGGACCAGAGATATTTGTATACATTAGTATACAGTTTTGGTTAATTTACATTTGTCCACTAGAGTATTTCTCCACTATAATGTTGGGTTTATTTGCTTTTTTTCTCCTTCTAAATATTTGTGTTCTAGAAGTAATAAAAAAACTGGTTGGTCCCCCAGCTTTAGAGTTAAGCTGAATGGAGTTGTGGAAAAATGGGCTTATTTCTTTGGACAGTTGTTTTATGTTTGTTTGTTCATTTTTTTAATGGAATTATTATTCTAACTCTGCGCAATCTCATAAAGTCATTTAGAGTGGGCAGTCTAGAAATATAATAAATAAATAACCATTAAAAACAGTGTTATCTATATTTGAATGAAATAGAGTAAATATGTACAGGGTCTAAAAGATTGTCAGTTTTTTAATACATAAAAATTATTGTAAATTGTTTGTATTTTATCATTGTAATATCTACATTTTTCATACAGGCATTGCAACAAATAACTTATATTTTATAGAAGTGGCCCACCTAATATTCTGATTGCATGTTGATATCTTAAAAAATACTTTGCTTTTTAGAATATGGTCCCAGTTATTACTGAATTACAAGTTCTAGGAACTCTCCATTGCCATGCAGATGACACTACCCAAAATGATAGCTTGATAGCTTGGCAGTATTTGAAGGGTTACAGGTTCTCCATTCTAGTTTTGGAGGAAAATATCTTCAATTAATTCACATAAATGATATTAAAATATGTTGACTTAATCTTATTAAAATCAGTTATAGACTGATACCCTCATCCAGTGAAAATTAAAGAGAATTTCTGTGCAAATGGATCTATTTTTGTGCATTGGTTTTATCAGCTAGATGTAGCTGGGTTATTGCCATCTTTCTTTGTTATGTAATTTGAAACTATGTAATTCTGTTTGTATTTTTCTCAAATAACAATGGGAAATATCTTTAGAGTTATGGTTTCTGACAGAGATGCTTCATCGTTTAAATTATACAGGAACAGTAATCATATTGAAGATTATGAAATCAGGAGAAACTAAAACAAAATTAGCTAATATTAATTTAACTCTAAAAATATCCAATGGCTAGTGTGTGTGTGTGTGTGTGTGTGTGTGTGTGTGTCTATTTTGGTTTTATTTGGTAAAGAAACAACTTCAATAATTTTGTAAAGAACTTTGTAAGAAACAATAAAAGTAAAATAAATGTATTATTTACAGAAAGAAAAATGGAAAAAATTTATCCAGCAATGAGGTAAGTTTTACTTATAGTTACCCTATCAAATCTAGATCAGATGATTGCTGAAATTTCATGAAATTTTGTTGGGTGTAGAAATATGCTAAATACATTAAAGAAGAAGTTAGAAGAGTGTTTTAGCTACATTTTCTCTTATATAGTGGGGAAAATAGAATATCTATTTAAGTGATGTATATTATATAATTCTATATATGGAATTTCACTGACTGCCGTAATAAATAAATAAAATAAAAGATTATGACATAGTAGCACTAAGTCATATGTAGCTTCATTTATAAACTAAAATAACTATAATACATTTATTTTTATTTTTATAATACAGATAAACTTCCACAAAAATCAAATTTTACAGTGGCTGCACTGTAAATCACACTTCTTTTCATATTGGTAATACAGAAATAAAATACCTATCCATAGTCCTATCAGGGAATTTATTAAAAAATGGAGTAATAAATACTAGATTTGCTGTGTGGCAGAAGTAGAACATTATATGATTTAATAATTCTACAGCTTTGATCTACTAGAATAAACTTGAAAAAAGTTTATATCCACTAATCTTAGTAAAAGGAAGATGATAACCAGGCAGTTTATATTGGCCAATGTAAAATGTTTTAAGCAATGCAGCTTTTCTTTAAGATGGCATCTGTTTTGCAATATTTGCAATATTTACATCATAGTGAACTCAATTGTATTGCTTATGTGTAGGCTGCTTTAATAAGTACGTTGCTTAAAGTGTTTTATAATAGTTCTCCTTTTGTGACCAAAATATATCAAAGTTAAAATATTTTCTTTAAATCTACACTATGTACATTTCAGTTCTTCAGAACTGGTCACACATGTTTGGATGAATGAGAAGTAGATACTTAATAGGGATATGGAAAACATTTGAAAGAAGTGCTTTTCAAAGGAGTTGAGTGCAGATAAACCTCTTTTTGAAGGATTAAAGCAGCTGAATTTTCTGCAAAGCTTGTGTGACAACTTAGAGGGCTGTGTTTACTTATCTGGGCCTGAATCTGATGGCTGTGCTGGCATGCAGACCACACGAGCCTGGCAAAAGAGGCGACTGCTTTAATGCTTAAAAGAGAGAGACTTCATTCACACTTTGCTAAACGCCTCTTTAAAACACTCTATTTACCTATTTAACCTATACCAGTGTAAAATATCCTGCCAAATTGTAAGCTATTTCACATGTACTGCTAAAATACATAAGGTCATGTTTTTATTACTGAATATAATCCAGGTGAAAGAGAGCTGTTTTGTCTTTTGGATTTTCACTTGGAAATAACAGAAAAATTGCCTGCAATAACCCAATTTGGCATGGGAAGTGGAAGGGCAGGCTCCCAGTTCAGTCTTTTTGGTCTATTCTTGCTGGCTGGATTTACACCCTACCCATTTGATTCATTGAAGAATAAGCATTGATAAAATAAAGATACATCATGAATATAATGAAAAAAAAATGGCAAGCCCTGTTTCTTTTCCAAAGCAAAAACATAGGTATTCTTTATTTGACAGATCTAGGATTCGAAGAGTAATTCACATTAAATTGTTTAGCTTTGTTGAAATAATTAAGATACACTTATTTTGATGAGACCATTTCCTCCTGTAATTTTTTAACATGCAGAAAGAAGTCAAAAAAGAACGAGCTGTAGTAGATAGAGTATTTCTTGCAAGAATTTGTCAAATTCTGAAAATTATGGTCCCCAGGACATTTTGTAAAGAGGTAAGTTACAAATAAAGAATACCCAGTGTAATATTTTTGTTACGAAATCTTACTAGCTTGTTGTCTTCCAGAATGCCAATTCAACATGAAGGCTGTTCATTTCAGTCGTTTGAAGATTGAAAATTTAGCAATTTGCAATTGCCGTTTATGTCAAACTGACTCCTGAATATTTTTATGGTTGCCCGTGTTGAACCTATACTTACTAATGTAGTATTTGGTGGATGGTTGTTCTTATTAACTTGACTTAGTTAAACATTGAAAACCGTGTGCTGTAATTTGATTGCTGTAGATCAGTGGTTCTCAACCTGTGGGTCGGGACCCCATTTGGGGTCGAATGACCATTTCATGGGGGTCGCCAAACAAGGCTGTCCGCCATTTTTCCCCCCTTTTCTTTGGCTACACCCCTGGCACCCGGTGATGTATAAGTGGTTGGGGGTCACCACAACATGGGGAACTGTATTATGGGGTCGCGGCATTAGAAAGGTTGAGAACCACTGCTGTAGATGTTTTTAAATGAATCCAAAGCAGCAAGTTTGTTAAAGATACAAATTGGGTCTTAAAGCTGGACTCTTTTTCCTGTTTTTTACAAACACAAATAGTGTTAAAAGTGATAGTAGTCTTTCATGTTTTGTTTGTTTCAGCACTGTATGCTATGTTAATACGCGGCATTAAATTTCTGCAAGTCAGCCATCTGAAAGACATGGTTAAGGTATAACAATCATATTAGGACTAGAAGTCAGCTTGCCTTGAAAAAAATTACGCATGCAAATAAACTTTGTACACACACATATACACAAACTGTGCTATTTCTTCAAAGGCCTAGTTTGTTTTTTCTACCTTGATTATTCAGATATGAACTGAAAACTAATTAATCTAAATTGAAGATAATACAGTATTTAAACATGTCTGTACTGGTAGTAACAGGAGTTTTCTAATATATAACAGTTACAAGAACACTGGACTCTTGCTTTGCGTTTATACTGAAAAGAAATGAAACAAGATGAGAATTTCTTAGAAACGGAGAAAGAAATTATTATTTACCTGAATTTTGTAAGAGTACATATAAAAAGAGGCTGAGCTTGACTATAATCCTGATTCCTTTTTTAAAATAACTTCATTAGACTTTTCAAATAAAAAGATAAAAACTAACAAAAACTAATAATTAAGATAGAGAAAAATGTAAAGAATGAAAAAAAAATAAAAGTACAGAAAGATAAAGAAACCACTTCTGAATTTCTTTTACAATAGATATAAGTATAAATTTATATTAAATTGTTAGCCTAAATTTATATCAGACGTTTTTCCCATTATCTACTATTTTTATAACATCAAACCCATATCTCATAATTTCATTTTTTCGGTTTCTGAAAAAAGTCCAAAAAGGGCTTCTTCTCAGTATTAAAATTAATCAATGTCTTCTCTCTAACCAAAGCTGTCAGTTTCATCAGCTAAGCCAACTCTTATCAACTTCACCATCTATTCTGCCATTGTAGGTACAGTAATGTGAAATATTTCCATTGTTGTCCATATAAAAATCTCACTGCTGTTATCATATATTGAAACAAAATTTTACGAGTTTCTCCAACTGCTTGTCCATCAGTCCCAAAAGGAATATCTCTGGTTTCAATTGTATATTAATCTTTAAAATATTCTAAATTAATATGTATACTTGAATCCATTTTTTTAGTTTGTTTACATGTTCATCAAGCATAATTAAAAAGCCCTCTCGTATTGTACATATTCCCAAAATGTATTTGAGGTATCTTTAAACATTTTAGACAATCTTTCCAGTGACAAATATCAATAGGATATCACTTTGTAATCTTTAAGGATTATAACACAATGTGAATTTCAATCATTCCATCTACGTATTCTCCCATTATTCCATTTGTATATTAAAGTTTCTAGCTCATTTTATTATACACATCATGTTTTTCATTTGTTTATCTTCTATTTCAAATTTCACTAAAAGTTTATAAATTTTAGCAATAACATATTTATTATTTAAATCATAATTCTATTTCAGTCTTACCATGTTAAAAGCCAGAAGTCCATTTATCGAAATTGAATCTTGCTTTTAATTATACATAGGAAAACGTTCAATTGTCTTTTGTTTTCAATAACCTTTGTCTCTCAGTGTAATCCACTCTTTGATCCAAACTAAATAACAAGTTGTAAAATGCAATTTCAAATCAGGTAAACCTAAGCTGTATTTCTTAAGTAATACCATGTACTTGATTTATGTAATTACTTACCTGCCACATAAATTTAGATATATGTTTAGTTAAATGGTACATATATCAGCTATCAATACAGGTATTGTATGAAACAAAAATAACATTCTAGGTAAAACATCCATCTTAATCACAGAAATTCTTCCTAATAATGACAGTTGTAGTTGTTCTCTTTTTAACATATCTTTTTTAACTTCATTCCATATCTTAACATAATTATTTTGAAACAACATACAATTCATATTTATCAAATTAACCACCCAGATAGTTTACCTTTTTCTCAATTTTGAAACTTATATTGTTCATCAGTTCTGTATTATTTTGTATTTTCATATTTTTGTTAACATATTTGTCCTCTATTTATTAAACTTAAAGCCAACTAATTCATCAAATTCTTTTAATTTTCTCATTAGATTCAATCCTCTTTAAAGGATCTTCCAACACCAACACCAAATCATCTGCAAAAGTTTCTTTTCTTTTTTTTCATTTTTATATCCATTATCCTCTTATCTTTGCCTTACAAATTCTTATATTTGCCTTATAAAATAAATGCCTACATCTCTACTACACAGATAGTCCTCAATTTAGTGACCATTCTAAGTTACAACAGAACTGAAAAAAGGGACTTGTGACCAGTTCTTGCACTTAATGACTCTTGCAGGATCCTTGCACTCATGTAATCACAATCCAGGCACTTAAAAACTCAGTCACACTTAGGACAGTTGCAGTATCCGATTGTCATGTCATTTCCATTTGCAGTCTTCCTAATTGGCTTCCGAGAAGCAAAGTCAGTGGGGGAGTTGGTAGGGTGTGGCAAATCACGGTCACGTGATGTCTTCCTCAACTGCACATGATTCGCTTAACATCCATGGTAAAAAGTTGTAAAATCAGATTCAGTCTCATCATGTCTCACTTAATAACCACCCTGCTTAACGGTGATTTTTTTTCTTCCAGTCCTTATTTTGGTCGTAATTCAAGGACAGTGTGTACTTCATATTTGGAGCAGATTAGCTTTATTTTAAAGTTTAATTTGTACTGATTCAATTACGGTTGGAAAAGATCTGTATGCTTTCTGTGCAAAACTCCCAAAATTAATCCAGTTCTAAATATGGTTCCTGTCTTTCTTATAATAGACAGGTTATTTGATACTTATTGCCATTATGTTGGTACTTCGTACATATTGTGACATCTGGATGATTCATAATGGAACAGTTATTGAAAGGTAAGGATCATTTATATATTCCAAACTAATTTCCTACCATTATTCTTCTATTTTTTATCAGAAGCTAATACTGCTATTTTTAGAAACACATTTTGCATACAAATCAATGTTATTTGACTTAAATGAGTAAACATAAAGGCTTAATCGAAGTACAATACAAAATATTTATTTCTAAGAGAACATGCCATGTTAACCCATAGGCTCTTTTCTACCCTATTAATCTCTCTAGAGGCTGCCTAAACTAAAGAAGAATCTTCCACTTTTAAACTAACCAGTTTGGCTCATAGAAAAGCAAAAACCATAGTTTAAGGGTTAGCCTTGCTCAACTAGTGCCCTCTAGAGGTGCATAAATCATAGTTTAAACTTTAAACAACTGACTTCAACTGGTTTAACCAGATATGTTGGGATTTCTCTCTCAGAATTCCCCAGTGGCATGAAATTTCAACATGCTTGAGTGTATCAGTGAACCGCATATACGTACTAGTTTATTTTATAGAAGGTAATAAATGATTCTTTATTCCTGTGTTGCATACAGTATAATATAATGCAGTATTGTGGGAACAAATTATTTAAATGGTGTTTTAAAAATAATGAATATTCTTGGATATCAAGAGTTTTGCTCTAAGCATCAAGACTCAATTTTAAACAAAGCTTACAGAGAGAAAATTTATTTTAAGCTTTCCGTTTTGACATTCATGCAGTAATCCTGTATTCTATGTAACTTAACAGATAACTATTTTTTTTTACCTTTCATATTTTGACGTCTATTGAGGAATGTTGTTAATTATATTTCTGAAGTAGTAATTATCCATTACGTTTGTTCAATAAAGGTATATATGTCAAAGCAAGAACATTCAATGTTAGCAATATAATAATTACTTTGCCAAGTCAGAAATAAAAATGTTAAATTCTGTACATTTTTTTTTCTTTCAGTGCAATCGTAAGCAGGGATCTGTCGCTATTCAAGAATTTCTTTCTTAAATTTGTAGTTTCCATTCCACTGGTAAAGAGACATAAATATTAGCATGCATCTATAATGTTTATGCTCATAACTGATGCATAAATGAAACAATTGCTTTTTTCCCCAGTGGGTTACGACTTAGGAGAGATTTAGCTTGAATAATATCAGCTAAATTGTATACTTCATAGTCTTTCTAAAGCTTTATTAATTGCTTCAAAATTTGTATTCTTACAAATTGTACAGTATGGTGCTGGTAACTTTCACTGTTGGTTTCTGCTACTCCAAAGACAACCACTTAGTAAGCTAAAGTAAACGGTTTCAATTGCCACCACCACCACCACCACAAATCTTGTTCTAGATTGGTCTTAATCTAATTCCCAGGCCATATATTAGGTGTACAGTTCCCAGCTTTGGCCATGCTGGCTGAGAATTCTGGAGCTTGAGGATGAGCACATTAAGAAACATCACTGATCTTTGGATGATCATAGTCTAATTCTTTCCTGCTATGTTTCTAAACCATTAGTATTATTTTTTCTGTTGGATTCTTCACCTTCCTGTATATAATTTTTTATTCCTTGTCCTACTCTTGTTTTTTCTCTCTATATATTTCTATATTGGCTTTTATTAAATTCAAATCCCTAACATGCCCCATGTCCTGATGCCAGCAAAAATGGAGAAAATACATATCTTAGTGACATCAGGATAAAAGTGTAGGTTAAGTACGCACTATGGAGGCATGAAACTTAACAGTAGGCTTGTTGGGTGATGGCTTTCTTTGTAAAGTGTGGTGTCTTCAAGGAGATGGGCAAAGGTATGTGGAAGTTTAAAACCCACCATCACCTGTATAGTTACTCCCATTAGTGCAAGGGTAGAACCGGAGGTGATGGCTTTCACTGATTCAGCTGTCGCTTCGTTCACAGATGTGGGAGCACATCGGAATGTTGATAGGGTGTAAACAGAGTCTTGCTGCTTCTTTTGTTGACCTTTTCTTTTGTTCGTTTTCCTACCGCTTTCCACTTGTCCTTGTGGAAACATCGTGGGTCTTGCTTCTGCCACTAATCTTGTGCATGTGGTGGTTTGCAGTGCTATCATTGGCCGCAGTAGAAAAGATTTCAAGAGGTACTTGTTCAACTTCATCGCTACCATGCCTGCTGTAAGTGGTGCTTTTTTGTTGTTGACCTCTTTGGGGTAAAATGAATAGGTATTCAGTCAGAACTTTTTATTTGGCCACTTTGTACTCCCATGCAATTTATTATCCTGAAGAAGTTTTTGGGTTTGTGGCATTTCATTTTTTTCCCCACTTTAATTGTGTGCCCACTAAATTGTGACTTCCAGAAGTTAGGACTACAGCATTATCAAGTGAAGGTAGTATGGCCAATGGCGACAATATTGTGGAAACTGTCATCCAAACTTTTTGCAGTGCTCCAAATTGACTACCCTTGATCTTAATTTGAAGGATTTATTTAATGTCCCTCCAGCTATAATGAAATGAGAGGAATAAAATATTCTATGTCCAGAGTATAACAGCATAGGGAAAGTTTGTATTTAATAGTGCAAAAAAAAAAAAATACCTAAAAAGTTGATAAACCGCCCATTCCATTTTGGTTTTGAATTAAAGTGCATGAAACATAAGATACAACCTCAGTGTAGTTTTTCTCCTTATCATTAACAAAATTGTAGTTTCTTACCTCATTAATGGAATAGCTCTTCTCCCACATTGATGGGGAAGTGTTTTATACAAGAGAGGATTTTATATATATTGCTGTACAGTAAAACTAAGAGCAAGGGCAGATATGAACACAGATGGATTTGATTTGTGATAGGACAGAATGTGCTAGGTAGGAAATTAAGCTTGGCAATATAAATAATTGCCTGATAATTATTTATAATTATTATTATTTATAATAATAGTAATTGTTGCAATCAAATTCAAAAGTATCTGAGTTCAAGACTGCTACTTGACCAGTTCTTTTCCTCTCTGGTAAAGGAATATGACATGAGAAAAATGATTCCCCAATCCAAGTTCCTCCTTTTCTGTATAGCAATTTTATTAAAAATTGTACTGTAATCACAACAATAAAAAATTAATACAAACTAAAAAGAGAGAAATGGACAGAAAAGAAAAGATATTAAAAAATGAAAAAATAAGAATATAGTAAAGAAAAGAAAAAGAAAAAAGACTTTCCCCTTTGTCATGACCCTTCATCATAAAACAAGTGCAAACAGTTTTAGTGCAATCCCGTAAAGTAGGCAGCCAAATAAAACAGCCACAGGAAATATCATTCAAATAAAACTTGTAAACATTAAAAATATCATTATGGTTCATCACGCTTTCAGCCAGATGCTCAGGCTGGGTTTGGCATTTTTGTCTGCCTAATCGAGTCCTTCTCAAGGACCTGGGATAGGCAGATAATAAGAGAAAATAAGAGCACAACCAAAATCAGTGGTGGGATTCAAACATGTGAACAACCGGTTCTTTGTGTGGATGCTGCTTCCGGAAATGCATTCTGGGCCTGGGCAACAAAAAACTAGCTACCGGTTTTGCTGGAGTGGTGTGAATTGGCTGAATCCCACCACTGACCAAAATGTAAGATAAAAATGGAACACGACAGTTAAATGGAATTGAAGCAGTTTTACCAGTCTCTATACATTCTGGGAAAGAGTTTAGAAAGTGAAGAGGGATAGTGCCTGTCTTAATTCCAAGGGAAAACTATTTCACAAGGCCAGAGAAGTAGGACCCCGTGACCTCCATTCCCCTTATTTATAAAAATTGGGTATATGCAGAAGCTTCTTCCAGGGAGAACATACCAAATGGGCCAGTTCAGGTCGGCAAAAGCCTTACTGTTGAAAGTTGAGACCTATGTAGTGAGATATTAGCACGTTACAGCTTCTTTTGTATGTGTGTAGAAAAACCAGTAGAACAAGTACTAACATAGAAGGGGGGGGGGTGAATGAAAATCTTTCAAAATCAAAGAATGAATTAGAAGATCTTGTTTCCCACATATGTAGGAGAAAATCTCTTCCTACTGCTGCTGCTTTCTATTTGTTTTGCGGTACCAAAATATGTGGTCCTTACAGATAAAAGATTGTTCACCAACATGCTGTAATTTATATAATCCCCAGTATATTGTGATATTGTGCCATGAAAAGCTGTCACTATCTGGTAAAACAGTTCACAGAGTAGCAAGTACTATTACATTTCAAGGTTCCTCTTGGTGCTTTATATTTCTTCATGAGTTTTTTTAAAAAAAAAACAAAAAACACCTGATTACAGCACAATCTTATGCAAGTTTAGATTGCCTTCAATTTACTGGGGCATATTTCCCAAATAAACATTGATCGGATTGCAGATGAATTCTTTTGTGGGTTATAATCTTAAACTGGATTTTAGTTTGCCATCTGTTGGGATCTAAAATGGTGGTGGTGGGTTTGAAGCCCATTAGATTTTGCATCCTCATTGATATGTTCTTATTTATAGATTTCCCTAGTGAATAACTTCTTGAAATACGGACTAAATGAACTTAAATTGTGTTTCCGTGTCCGACTTACCAAGTATCTTTATGAGCAGTACTTACAGTAAGTGATTTTTTTTGTTTTTAACATTAAATTAGATTAAAATTAAATAAACTCTAATCCTTTAAAGTTAATATAAATTGTAATGTATGATATGATGTATAAGGAGGCTCTGGTTCATCCCTTCTTTGCTTGATCCCACCTGCCTGGACAATTTTCGTCCAATTTCCCATTTTCTCTTCTTAGTGAAGGTGGTAGAAAAGATGGTTGTTTGCCAGCTTCAGAGGATCCTGGATAAAACAGATTGCCTGGACCCCTTTCAGTCAGGATTCAGGCCCAGTTATGGGGCAGAAACAGCATTTGTGGATGATCTCTGGCAAGAGTGGGATAGGGGTAGTATAACCATCCTTGGTCTCTCAGCAGCCTTCAGTACCATCAACCATGGCATCTTTTGGGGGCTGGCTATGGGATCTGGTGCTGGGGAGAAGAGTCTTGTGCTGGTTTGGCTCCTTTATCCAAGACCAGTCCCAGTCATTGTTGACAGGGAGTGAGAGATCCAGCCCTCAGCCTGTGGCAGGCTGCAGGGTTTGTTATTCTCACCTCTCCTTTTTAACATCTACATGAAGCCATCCAGTGAGATCATTCATCACCATGGATTCAGGTATCGTTGGTACCTTGAGGTATCTATATCTCTACTCCTGGTGAACCGAGTGATGCTGTTTCTGCCTTTTCATGGTGCCTGGAGGCTTTCGAGGCCTGGATGAGGGACAACAGACTTTGAATGAACCCTGACAAGATCAAATGGCTTTGGGAGCGTGGCGCTTCAAGATCTGGGTCTTTGACATTTTTAGTTCATGGGGTGGCACTATCCCATACCGACGGGGTTCGCAACTTGGAGGTTCTTCTGGATTCATGACTCCTGCTCAAAGAGCAGATGGTAGTCACAGCTAGGGCAGCCTCTGCACAATTTTGGGTTGTGCGCCATTGGCAGCCTTTCCTGGTTAAGGAGTCCCTGCATTCAGTCATTCAAGTCCTGGTCACTTCATATTGGGCCTACAACAGTGCGCTGTACATGGGCCTACCCTTGAAGAACACCACAACTGGTGCAGAGTGTGGCAGCACGGGCAGACTTTAGGGCTCCTAGAGTGGCCCATATCACACTGCTGTTCCGTGAACTACCCTGCCTACCAGTTTGCTTCCAGGTGCAATTCAAAGAGTTGGTCATCTTTAAAACCCTGCATAGCATGAGTCCAGGTTACCTGAGGGACTGTCTCATTCCAATGAGACAAGCCTGCCCTATCCACACTGGCACAGGGATCATATTGCAGATCCAGAAAATCAAGGAATTTCAGCTGGTGGGGTCCAGGAAAAGAGCCTTCTCTGTCATGGCTCCTGCCCTTTGGAACATCTTGCCTTCTAGGGTGAGATTTGTTCCCACCCTCTTGATCTCCATAAGAGTCTGAAGACCTGGCTCTGCCAGTTGGCTTGGTGCCCCAACGGGAGGTGGTTGATGGACCAATAGCAGATTCCACCTCACCCCTGCAGATCCTGTCCTCTCCCTTCCCATCTTTTTTTTAAACCGTAATTTTAATTACAATCTATATTTTATTATACACGCACATGTATATATGTATGTATATGTATAGTTTTACTTCATTTAACCTTGTAAACGGCCTAGAATCGCCTTGCAGTGAGAGGTCCAGCAACAGATTTAATAAATATAAATATAGTTAATCATTCAGTAAAACTGCTGTATTATATTACTGATTTCCTGACATTTTAGGAGTTACACATTCTACAAAATGGGCAATTTGGACAACAGAATAGGCAATCCTGATCAGCTACTTACACAAGATGTTGAAAAATTTTGTAACAGTGTAGTGGACCTATATTCAAACCTCAGCAAGGTAAGTGTGAAGAAAAAAAGTAGATTATGTTGTCATCTGCATGCTTAAATTTTATTTACATAGGAGCAATTTAAATATTCATTCTCATCATGAAACTGAAAAACTGCTGAATTAAAGATTTGTTCTTGCATTTAAATAACTATTGAACAGTAGAGAAAGCAAAAATTCCTGAGAAACTGTGATTTATACGGTAGGATTTTTTTAAAATACAGATTTAATTTGAATCAGAATGTTCACAGAACGTTTGAAAGACTTAAGTTACAATGAGACATTTTAGCTGTGTTTATTTAAAAGTGTCCTTTTAAATAAAAATTCATATTGCATGCTTTCTCCCACAACAAATATTTACAATTGAATCTTATTTTGCAGCCATTTCTGGATATTGTTCTATACATCTTCAAACTAACAAGTGCAATAGGAGCACAGGTAAAATTTTATTTTTATTTATGCACTTTGAATATGAACTATATGTTCTCCAATACGAGAAATGAATTATTGAGAATTTTCTATAATGTAATATTGAGAAGTCTTTGGAACTTAAAATGACAAGAAATTTAGAAATTTTCAACCATTTTATTATATTCTGTCAAATGTGTGCTGAACATACTCTATAAACATATGATAAATATAGTGTGGGATATTCGTTTAACAATGTTTGATGGTGTGGCATGTAGAAAGATAAGATCATTTTGGACTTTTAAGAATTACATAAATTTAAATTCTTCTACAGCAGTGGTTCTCAACCTTTTTAATGCCGCGACCCCCAACCGGTCGTAAGTTGAGGACTACTCAACCGGTCGTAAGTCAAGGACTACTCATCTGGTGCAGCACCATTTGCAGAATGGGACTTTTGGCGGGCTCAGCAGGGCAGAGACAGCCTGGACAATTCCTATTGGCTTTTGAAAGCAATAGAATTAGACTCTATTCAAGAGAGTCTATTCTATTGGCTTTCAAAAGCCAATAGAATAAAAGGGAGTAGCACAGCTAAGGAAAAGGGGGGAAAAAATGGCGGACTGCATTGTTTGGCGACCCCCGTGAAATGGTCGTTCCACCCCAAATGGGGTCCCGACCCAAAGGTTGAGAACCACTGCTCTAGAGAGCCAGTTTGGTGTAGGACCAGACTAGAAACCTGGAGAATGCAAATTTTAGTCTCACCTTAGGCATGAAAATCAGCTGGGTGATCTTGGCTAGTCATTCTCTTTGAGTTCTAGGAAGTAGATAATGGCAAACCACTTCTGAAATCTTGCCAAGAAAACTGCAGGGACTTCCCAGGCAGTCAACAGGAATCAACACTGAGTCAAATACATACAGACATGTATGCCTGCATTCTTGCACACATGTTTTGTAATAGAAGCCGATGTGTTCATAAGCCACTATAAAACATTAAGAGTCATTGTATCATAATCTTTCAGAAAAAGTTTTTATCCTAGATCAGCCCTTGACTTCTACAATACTATATCCATATATACTAAGAAGCAAATTTTATTATATTTGGAACCTGCTGTCATTTATAAAAATAATTAAATGTTATTTAATTTCAAAATTGGCAGGTCTTACTTTAAGGTGGATTTCATTTTTCTGCAGTTGGAAGTAACTTCTAACCCGTAGTCAGATGATACTTGTAACCAGCCTCTGCCCAGGTGGATTGCTAGATGCACCCTTTTTGAAAAAGAAAATATTGTTAGTAGGTTTATTCTGGAAGTTGTGTCTTATTTTATTCTTTGATATTTCCAGGGCCCTGCTTCCATGATGGCCTACTTGATTTTTTCAGGCTTCTTCCTTACACGCTTAAGAAGACCTATTGGTAAGATGACTATTACAGAACAAAAATATGAAGGCGAGTATAGATACGTCAATTCACGGCTCATCACAAACAGGTATGAGACGGTTTCAAGACAAACTAATGTTCATTAGGCCAAATATGATAGGCTAAATCAAGTCCTTTATGTTGCTATTTATTTAAAAAAAAACTTAACATGTTTCATGTTAAACCTTTCTCTATTGGTTGGTAAAGAATGGAAACATAGTTTTCATCTGAAAACTGAATGACTAAGATAATATATGTTTGTTTGATTTGTCGTAATTTGTTTTAGTGTAATTTAATTTGTTGTAGGAAGCATATCCTAAGACAATTGGCTGCTTAACTAAAAAAAACTTATTTTTAAAAAAGTGAAGTTAATACAGTGGTGGGATTCAGATATGTGAACAACCGGTTCTCTTTGTGGATGCCACTTCCGGAAGTCCATTCTGGGCCTGGGCAACAAAAAATTAGCTATCGGTTCTGTCAAACTAGTATGAACTTGCTGAATCCCACCACTGAGCTATGAACTTAATGTGAACTTAATGTTAATGGAAACGTAATATGAACTTTACTGCTAAAGCAGTGAAAAGCAGGAATTGACCTGGTAATTCTATTAGGGAATGAAGAGTATGGCTGTAACTAAGAATGTAAGAATGCATGCATTGTGGGTAACTTTGCTTGGTTATTTAAACAAGAATTTTGCTAATTTTGATGTTGCAGCAAACTTTCACTAGTTGCAAAATCATGTTTTAGTCATTCCATGGTCTGGTCCAGACATGTGGGAAATCGAGAGTTATGAAATGCTGAAACAGCTCATGTGATTTTGTGCTACAGGGCAGGATTAATACATGTTTAAATAAGCAGGGAAAGAGATCAGGGAGCATTTAAAATTGTGACTTCCAACATGTCTGAACTTGCAGGTGCCATTTATCACCTGTGGACAACCCCACCTCATTCTCCTGCTGTGTAACTTGATCTTGCTTGCAGATATGTGCTGATTAGACTTTTTTTTCCCCTACAGTGAAGAAATTGCATTTTATAATGGGAATCAAAGGGAAAAACAGACGATTCACAAAGCTTTTCACAAACTGGTAAGTTAGCCTCAAACTGCTCGGTAATGTAAATAAGCCATAACATTTGACACAGTAATGCTAAAGATTGTGAAAGGCTTCTGTGCTAGAGGGATATCTGCATGAGACAACCACTTAATGAGAATAAAAGCAATAGATGAAAGAAACTATATTTTTTTCTGAAAGCAATGCCTAAGGAGTATGTGTACTGCCAAATGATATACTGTAGTTAAAAATGAGGGGACATGTAGCATATTGACCTTTTCCATAAACTGGCCCTCTAAATGCTTTAGTAATACTAAGCATTTTGTCTCCTTCAGTTTGATTGTATCCAGTCTCCAAAAATCTTGCCATACTTGCTTATCATCTTCTTCCTCTCTCACACTTTATATTGTTCATTTTTCCTTAAAGTCTGTCTTAAAACTGCCTATAGACCCAGTGACTTCAGAGCCAGTGAATTTTGTTAATCCTGGATGTGGAATTTTTTTTTAAAAAAATGTATTTGACTTTTAAAAGTATCATTTACAAGCACCAAAATATTTTTCCCCCAATGGTTAGCTCACTTTTTTTTAGTTTTCATGTTGCATTATAAATATAAATTCACTTTTTTTAGTTGTGAGTAAGTTTGAAGCTCTAATTGGGATGCAAAAGCAAATCTTATTGTTAAAGCTTGATCAATTTAAAAGTCAGAAAACTATTTCACATTGTAGACTTTTGCCTCTGAAAATTTTTATCACAATTCAAGTTTAATTTCTAATGTGCCACAGGCTTCCTTGATGGATGTGATACTCCAAAGGATTTACCTGTCTTTATCTATTTGCATATTTTATTCTTGGGAGTCATCAACATCCACATATTGGATGAGTAATTATTTTTTTAAGACTTATATACATGCATGCATATTTCAGAATTGCTCTGCATTGTCTATGCCACTTTTAACTGTTCCTTGTTCTCTTTGACTATATTGTGTGCAGCACACATACGTACGCATACACACCCTAATGCAAACACACACAGAGTGTTTTTTTCCTGGTCCTCATTTCCTGGTACTGTTATTCTGTAATAAGGACTTTTTTCCTCACCCATAGCATTTTTCACCAGCATTCCCTCAAGTATCTTTTCATCGATTTCTCATAACGCCACACATTTTTGTGGTACATTGTAGCATATCTTTTCACTCTTTCCCAAACAATTTTCTCATTCTCATTTCCTTATATAATCCTTATATGTTTTTTTGAAAATTATGGTTTGTAAAAGATAACACCTTTTTTTAAAAAAAAACACAAAAAAATGAGATTGCCAAAAATGGCCTGCTACATACACATTTTCAACTCTTGGATAAGAATTTCCTCCTGTACGTTGTAGAATTCAACTTTTTCCTGTTTTGTTTCCCAATAAAATAAATATTCCTTAACAAAGACTAAGACACAAAGTTATTTTTAATCCACAATTTTAAGTACCATATCAAATGTATTGACATAACTGGTTTTTTTATTGCCCTAGGTAGAGCACCTGCACAATTTTATTTTGTTCCGGTTTACAATGGGCTTTATAGACACGATTGTTGCTAAATGTAAGTGTTCAGTCCTTCCCTCCCTCCCTCCCTCCCTCCCTTCCTTCTTTTTTTTCTTTTCTCTCTCTTTCTTTCTCTCTCTCTCTCTCTGTCTCTCCTGTTATAGAACTTAATAGTACTTTCCACAAAAAAGTCATTTTAGCACAGTGGTTCTCAACCTGTGGGTCGGGACCCCATTTGGGGTCGAACAACCATTTCACGGGTGTCGCCAAACAACGCAGTCCGTCATTTTTTCCCCCTTTTCCTTAGCTGTGCTACTCCCTTTTATTCTATTGGCTTTTGAAAGCCAATAGAATAGACTCTCTTGAATAGAGTCTAATTCTATTGGCTTTCAAAAGCAATAGGAATTGTCCAGGCTGTCTCTGCCCTGCTGAGCCCGCCAAAAGTCCCATTCTGCAAACGGTGCTGCACCAGTTGAATAGTCCTCAACTTACAACTGATTGAGTAGCCCTCGACTTACGACCGGTTGGGGGTCGCGGCATTAAAAAGGTTGAGAACCACTGTTTTAGCATGTAAAATTCCATAGTCCCAGTTTCTACTTCCTGATTTTTAAATAGCAACCTCTCCCTTCTGATTCCTATATCTTTTAAGATGGGTGTCAAACTGCCGGCTCACAGGCCGGATGCGTCAGCTGGAAGCCGCACCCACCCCATTGCCAGCAATGGCAAAACCGTCCCAATACGTTGTGCAATGTCATGTGACGTCACGAGTTTGACATGTCTGTTTTAAGAGGTTTCTCTAGTCTTCCCTAGAATAAAAAGGAACTATCTTATAGTGCAGAGTTTTATTCACATTTTGTTGATCCTAGGCCATTGTTTAACTTTTGAATTAACGAGATCGCCATCACAGTCAGTACTCATTGTCTGGAGCCTGCCCTGTTGTTTTTCATTCCCTCTCCCCCTTGCAGGGCAAAAAGATTGGAGAGGAAGGCATTACAAAAGACTAAGCAGGCACACAGTGAGTAATACACATTTGAAAGCAATACCCTGGTGCCAGGAGCCATGGTGCGCTACGCAAACAGTCCAGTCTGTTCCCCATTGTGTGCTTGCTTACTCTCTTCTAATTCTTTCCTCCCCAATCTCTCTGCAAACGCCAAAGAGAAAAAACAAGCTATTTCTGTAGGCAGTTTTTCCTGTGCCTTTACCCATCGTTGTCCAAGAGAAAGAGTAAGCAGGTACACAATGGGAAATACATTCAACTATTTGCATAGTGTGCTCATGTCTGATGGTACCTGAATATTGCTTTTAATATGTATTACCCACTGTATGCCTGCTTACAGTAGTCCTCGCTTTACGACAAACTAAACAAAACTACGACCCATCCTCCAAGTTACAACTGTCGCACATATACCCCCACAGTCACATGATCACACTTCAGGCACTTGGCAACTATCTTGCATTTAAGGCCAGTTGCAGTGTCCTAAGATCAGGTGACCACAGTTTGTGACATTTTTTGCCTTTTCCAGCAGAAAATGTCAAAAACCACTCTTTGGATATACTGGATTCGCTTAACCTCATGGTTCGCTTAATGACCATGTCATTTGCTTGATGACTGTGATGGCTTACTTTATTATCATTATAAAACGGTTCTAAGATTGAGTCAGGTTACATGGGGACCTGCTTAAATGACCGCAATGATTTACAACCAAAATTCTAGTCCCAATTGTGGTCATTAAGCGAGGACTCCTATACTGTCTTGCAATCCTTTCCAATGAATATAAGTACAACTATTAATTCCTTTTTATTATACCAGTCCTGGAGTGAGCATCCCCAAGGTCTGGGGAATGGTTAGGAGGCAAACAAAATCCCAGTTGTGGTGATATGATTTCCCACTTAGCAACCCGAAGTTGCTGGTTCCTAATTGTAGTTACTAAACAACGACTACCTGTATTACATTGAAAAGAATAAAACAGTGTTTCATGAAATTGCGGTCTGAATGTCAGATCAATCCACATTTAAAATAAAGATACGGCTTTAGAAATGCTTTTTTCTTCTTCTTCTTCAAATTTTATAGATCTTGCAACCGTAGTTGGCTATTTGGTGGTTAGCCGTCCATTTTTAAACTTGCATCATCCTCGTCATCAGAATAGCACCCATGCTGAACTTTTGGAGGTGAGTAATATATTTGCTGCAGCAGCTATAATAAATGCCCCACATCATTTTGTTGTGAGTTACACAATGACAGTAAAGACACTCTATTCTATTGCTTGTTCGTTTTTTGAGCAAACCTTTATTTCATTGTTTTAAGGATTACTACCAAAGTGGAAGAATGCTACTGAGAATGTCTCAAGCCCTTGGCAGAATAGTTCTAGCTGGCCGTGAAATGACTCGATTGGCTGGGTAAGTGTCAGGTACAAGCAACTAGAGCAGTGTTTCTCAACCTTGACAATTTTAAGGCATGTGGACTTCAACTCCCAGAATTCCACAGCCAGCAATGCTGGCTGTGGAATTCTGGGAGTTGAAGTCCACATGCCTTAAAATTGTCAAGGTTGAGAAACACTGAACTAGAGCCATCTCTCAAAGTAAACAATTTTATTGACTACTGCCTGTGTTACAAGAATCTCCTCAGACTGCTTACCTTCCTCAGGAACAACCAGCTAAGGCTTTATGGATCTTGAGGGAGATCCATAAAGAACTCAGAGTGCAAGAACTCTAAGCTAGACCCTTGCTTGACTCCTGCCTCCAGCCTGGCTGGCATTTGCCCAACGGGGAGATTGATCAATTAGTGTAATTCTATTTTCATTCATAAAATAAAATTATTTTAATCTTCCTTGTTAGCCACAAATCTGTATTCATTTCTAATGATGAGATAATTGTGATTAATTTGATGGTTATGAAATAGAAAACATGAAGTGTATGAATAAAGCTTGGAGCATCATTTCACAGATAAAAGTACTTTCTAAATAATTACAATAGGCACTCATAATATGTATTATTTTGCTTCCCATTTTAAACTATTGGTTTAATTTATTTTTGATGAAAATTCAGTTTTGAAGAAAAATGCTTGAGGTTTGTCAGTTTAATGGATTTATCACCTTTAGCTTCACAGCTCGAATTACGGAATTAATGCAAGTTCTGAAGGACCTAAACAAAGGGAAATATCAACGAACCATGCTAACCCAAGACAAAGGTAACCATGACGCCCTGATGTTGATTAAGGAATCAGTACAAAAACTCATAATAACCTTGCTATTGATTACTTTTTTTTTAATTTAAGAATTGGACTTAAAAGAAACTACCCCGTTGATTCCTGGAATGGGACAGATTGTCATAACAGATAACATTATCAAGTAGGTAAAATCCCTCATTTCTTATTATTTATTTATTTATTTATGAGACTTATATACCGCTTTAAGTGCGAGCACTCTCTAAGTGGTGTACACCAGTAAGCAATGTATATATATATATATATTTACATTGCCCCCAACAATCTGGGTCCTCATTTTACCTACCCCGGAAGGACGGAAGGCTGAGTCAACCTTGAGCTGGTGAGATTTGAACCGCTGACCAGCTAAAGTGGCCTGCAGTACTGCACCCTAACTGCTGCGCCACCTCAGCTCTTTTATTATTCTATTAAGGTATCCATTAACCTTTTTCATTTCTATATACACCCATCCATGCTATCTAAATTTTGTTTATAATTTTTTAGAATTTGTTGTGTATCTCTGCACATGCCTTTTACCCACAAGAGTAAAATGTACAAGAAGCAACTGTGAGACCATGTCTACAATTGCTTCCTGGCAATGCCATTTTTTTTTCTATCCCCCACCCCCAATTGTGGTCTTCTGAATGTAGAAAACCTAATTATGTAGGCCTGCGTATGGATATGCTTCCTCAGATCTTGGAGTTTGTGTCATCTGCATGGGATTCAATGAATTAAGTTAAAAAGTGAACAGCATTACATTTGAAATGTTTAATGAATGAGCATCACAAGTTACAATTTGTTCAGTTGGCAGAGTTGTCTAGCAATCTGACTTGATTGATTTAAGACGGCAGTTTTATATTGATCAACATTTTACCCCAACTGTCAACAACGATTGCCATCTTTTGCATCTGCAGGAAGCTTTGTGGGGGAGAGTTGCCTTAAAGTAAATATACAAAACAGGCCTTATAAAACAACACTCAAAAAGTTATTGAACTGTCATGGTTCATACATCTCCAAACTTTCAAAAGGAAACGTTCAACATCAAGACATTTCCACCCTTAGGTTCTCTTCCATGTACAGGTAGTCCTTGAGTTATGATGGCAGTTGGAACTGGAATTTTCACCGCTAAACAATTGCTTAGCGATAGCAATCCTGGCACTCCCAATTGCAGTTGTGAACTGAGGACCCATCCCAATGCAAATCACTCACTCCTGACTTGGTCTTTCCCAGTCCCAATCCTTGAGTCCTCCAATGTAAGAGACTGCCTCCACTTGAGCTCCCTCCAACTGCCTATTCCCCACCCCCCCCATCTCTGCTCTTTTGGCCCCCCTGCACCTTGCAGGGGGGCAAGCAGTCCAGGAACCACGCAGCTTAGAGACTGCTTGCCACATTGCAGCTCAGGAATGTCTTAGCTTGCCACAGCTCTGTGGCTGCAAGGAGTCCTAATCCCAACACAAAGCTGCAGCTGCCCTGGAAGTTAGAACCAGCACAAGGTGAAGCCCCAACCATCTCAAGAAATTGCAGCTGCCCCAACACAAGCTGCCCTTGTTGCAGTTCTGAGACCTCTGCCATCCTGCATTCTGCTGCTCTTGTGCTTAAGTTTGTGGTATGGCTATGTTGCAAGCACCTTGAAAATGTTACTCTCTTGTTTTAACAGTAATTTACTACTAAATTTAGGCCACAGTTTACTAATTACATTATTAATTGCCCCTTTGTGTGATGGTAATATGTTTAATGGTGCTATGTCTTATTTTCCTTGAAGATTTGATCACGTTCCATTGGCAACACCAAATGGCGATATGTTGATTAAAGATCTCAACTTTGAGGTACCCTGCAACACTCACAATTTTATCTTGAAATAATTCTCTGGATGAGAGTAAAAAACTGCTTTGTTCCTCTTCCCACCCCAAAACAGTGACTTTGAGAGATTTATTTCAGAACAAAGGGATCTGTGATAGTGAGGGAGATTGGCTTGAAAGTGAAAAACTGCCCCAAATTAGTGGAGGTGTTTTGGTCAGTGAAATCTACCCAATTTTGAATAATGTTTTCTTCTCAATAAAGAGCCCTTTCACAGATAATCAAGAATGTTTTCTAAATTTGGGGGAAAGTGCCAAGAGACAGGAAAAGGACAGATTTCTATAGGAGAAACTAACCCAGGTAGACTGTTAAGTAGTTTTCCCATCTTCTGTATGCATAATGCTAAATATTTGCAGAAACCTCTTCTTCTTCCTGGTGTTAATCATGCTGTGCACATGGAAACCAGGAGAAATTTGATTAACAGATTGGTGTTCTCCATGGACCTAGTCCCTGATCATACACTAGTATAGGAATTTTAAGCAATACATTAATCAGGCTGTTGTTTCCATTAGGTAGTAATAATATACACCAGAATATCCATTCCATAACATTTTTTTTTTGAATAGCTCCAAGATTGTCTCACTAGGGTTTTAGCGCAGCCTGTTCTATCCTATCCAGACTCTTGTAGCTTCCAGACAAAGGAAAAGGACTTCCACAATTGATGGAGTCCAGTTCAGACTTGGGTGGCAGCATAAAAGTCTGTATCATCAGCACCCCAAGTCATTTCAGGACATCTTCCAGTGGCTTCATATAAATATTAAAGAGTAGGAGAGAGAGAAGCCATCTCTGTGGCATTCCACAAGTAAGTAGCCAGAGGAATGGCCTTTAAGGTAGACCAATCAGAAATCACTCTGCAGGAAGACAAGAACGATACTTGATTGAGACAGGCTGCAGGAACAGAATCTTGCATTTTATTTTTGTAAAATAGTCTAGTTCAAATTATTTTAAAAATTTGTAAACTGAACTGAACATTTTAGTACTTTAAAAAAAAAAAAAAAAAAGCAGGTGTGCCCCGTTGTGAACCAAAGTTGCACGGAGGGTTTTTAACGTCCTTCTACCAAATTTTACAAAACACGTCAAAGTTTGAATACTTTTTGAGTGCTCGTGTTTAAAAGAATAGCTAGAAAAATATTTGCCAAATCAAATATATATTCCCAAGTTAATGAAGCAAACCTCAAGCATTAGGAAGGTAATTCATATACTTTAGCTTTTAGTGTTTGAGAAACTTCAAATATATTCTGTCTTGATTTGTATTCTAGGTGCGATCCGGTGCAAATGTTCTTATTTGTGGGCCAAATGGATGTGGAAAGAGTTCTCTCTTCCGTGTCCTTGGTGAAGTAAGTAAAGGCTGAAGTAAACTTGATTGTAAGGGCAAAAAAAAATGACGTTACATTTTTATTCTAATAAATTGTGTTTGCTTATTGCAGTTGTGGCCTTTGTTCGGTGGCTGTCTAACTAAACCCGAGAGAGGAAAGTTGTTTTACGTTCCTCAGGTAAATCAAGCCTCTGAGACTGTTGATCTTTCTTCCCTCTGACAAATGTCCCAATTTTCTAATTCCTTATAATTTCAATTTCAGAGACCATATATGACACTAGGGACGTTGAGAGACCAAGTAATTTATCCAGACACTATAGAAGATCAAAAAAAGAAAGGCATCTCCGACCAGGTAAAATGCATTATTATCCCTACATTTTACTTATTTGAATCTCCCCTTTATTATTTCTACAAATAGCTCAAGGCAGCTAACATATCCAACACACTTTCCTCCTCCTACTTTCCCCTCAACAACAACCCTGTGAGGTGGTTTGGGCTGAGGGAGAGTGACTGACCCAAAATCACCCAGCCGGCTTTCATGGCTAAGGTGGGACCTAGCATTCACTGATTTCTGCTTTGGCTCTATCTATTTTTAAAGATTATCTTTACTGTAGATATATAGTAAAAATAAATAAAAAATTAAAAAAAACAGAAATCACTGTAAATTTTAAAAGCATGTAATAATTTGAAATGCCAGTGATTTAAATCACAATGCCAGTGATTTAAACAATATATGTATATTCCCTTTAAACAAGTATTGTCTCAGTATTTATAGATGAGAGGGTGAAAGTTTGTTCTCCAAGCATGTGGGTTGGTTTCTGAATGTTTCGTTACCAGGCTAGGTAACATCTTCAGCAGAGTTTAGGGTTGTGAGGGAGTCCCCTAAACTCTACTAAAGATGTTACCGAGCCTGTTAGTGAAAATTCAGAAACCAACCCACACGCTCGGAGAACGAACAACACTCGTCCTACACCCGAGCTGCAGATATTCGCCACTATTTATATATATACTTATGTTACATCATTTTCAAGTGAATCTTATTTAGTTGAAACCAGTGGTGGGATTCAGCCAGTTCGTACCACTTTGGCAGAACCGGTAGCTAATATTTTGTTGCCCAGGCCCAGAATGGACTTCTGGAAGCAGCATCCACACAGAGAACCGGTTGTGAACAACATATTTAAATCCCACCGCTGGTTGAAACCAGAACTAACTTGTTCAAGCTGTGAGGATGTAATTTCAGAATGGTAAATCTAGTTATGCAAAACTGTGAGTTTTGATCTGGACAATATCCCAGACAACACAAACCACTTCCTATCTAGGAAGATTAACTTCTGGGAATAGATAAGCCATACTTGGTACGTTCCAAGAAATGTGCTTATATGCAAAATCTCTATGGATGGATACTCTTGTATTTATTACAATGTTAATGGGAGCAGAGAGAAGAAGGGAAATTTATAAGTGTTTCTACACATTTTGATTTTTCTTTCTCTGAGAAAGATATAATACTTTAAAAAAGTAAATATGTATCTATTATAGATAACCGTGCCAAAAGAATAAAGTTTCTGGATAGAGTATTGTTTCGTTGGGTTTCAGATTTGCTGTTATAGTGATGTCTATGTTTCAGGTATTCCAAGATTGATATTTTTTTTTTTTAAATTGAGGTTAATTACAACATTGCTCATGCAAGCCTTAATCTGCTCAATTAGAATTCTGAATTAGTATAAAAGTAGAATCATCAAAGCTAATTTTCTGAATTTATTGTAGACACTGCCACTTGGCAAATAGGAAAATGTGCTAGCATGTGACCATCCTAAAGCTATAGGACAGAAAAAATCAGATGCATAGCTCCCTGTCTGTTCATACCATTATAGGGTATGAATATAATGCAGAAGAGATGCATCAATTCATAAGTACCTGCCTAGAAATTATCCTTCTGCTAAGCATTCAAGATGGGTGGAATTTTATAACTGTACACATGGATTACCAGGTCCCAGAACTCTGGTACCTATATAGAAAGAGAATATTGATTGAATCTGAATTCTGCATTGATGCTTCGCTGAGTTAAAAGCCAGGTTCTGCAGCAATGCCATTGTGATTTCTGGCTTGAATCACAGAGAAAAGAGAGAAAAGACTATAGTTCTGGTGAATGAGAGCACATACAGTAGTTACTTTAGGTTGTCTATTGTAATGGAAGGGAAGGTCAATCAACTATACGTGAGGCTGCATAACATTTATCATGCACTTTAGTACCACTTAAAGTACATAATCTAGCTCAGTTAATATTGTTGCTTGGTACAATTATCTGACAATATATTTTGAACTAAACCAATCTAAATTGTCAGGGAGGGGGGAGGATTAGATAAATGAACAGGCAGATACTAGCAAATGTATCTGCAAGCTGTTAAGCAATATCTGTTTACTGTTTTGGTTGCAGGTGTTAAAGGAATATTTAGATAATGTCCAGCTGGGTCAGATCTTGGACCGTGAAGGAGGCTGGGATAGTATTCAAGACTGGATGGATGTTCTCAGTGGAGGAGAGAAACAGAGAATGGCGGTAGGTTGTCTTCATGGTGTCCCTTGACACTTTGTGCATTTTCCAGCACTGGTTTTGATTGACATTTCGACATAATTTCAGCAAAAGAGTAGTTTAATACTACTATTATTATTATTAATTATTTTTATAGACCACCAAATCCCTAGGTCCCAACAAACATCTACTACTAGTGCAACCAGGATTGCCTCAGTTCCTAAATGTAGAGCTCTTCAATAATTCATTTCTTATAGGATGCTCCATAGTTGATGCATATCACTGTTTCAATAACCTTCCTCCAAAAGGGGAGGTTGAAGACTGGGCAATAGTCATCCAGTATCTCTGGATCCAGAAAGAACTATTTGAGGAGATGTGTCACAGCCTCCCTCAAGGCTGCCATTAGCATCCTATCCTTCAGTGAGGCATTAATAATCTCCTAGTCCAGATCCAGAAATTTCCTCTTCCTTAACTGCCCAAAGGAACTAGGAAGGGCAAAGATTAAAACTACAGATGTTTGAGGAGAACTTAGCATCCTATCCACTTTGTTGGAGGTTGCAAGCCGGAAGCAGTTGAAGTAAAAAGATGCCTCAGTCATTGCCCTGGACCTTACTATAGGTAGTCCTCGATTTACGACCACAACTGAGCCCAAAATGTTTATTGCTAAGTGAGACATTTGTTAAGTGAATTTTGCCTCATTTTACAAAGTTGCTTGCCACAGTTGTTAAGTGAATCACTACAGTTGTTAAGTTAGTTAACTTAGTAATCTGGCTTCCGCATTGACTGCTCATCAGAAGGTTGTAAAAGATGATCCCAAGACCCTGGAGACATTGCAACCGTCATAAATGGCCAAGCATCTGAATTTTGATCACATGACCATGGGGATGCTGCAATGGTCATAAGTGTGAAAAACAGTCATAAGTCACTTTTTTCAGTGCCGTTGTAACTTTGAACAGTCACTAAATGAACTGTTATAAGTCGAGGACTACTTGTACCTGTTGGTTAACAATTTAATACAGTATTACATAGGAACAAAATGTGTTACCGTGTCTGTTTTTGACAATAAGCTTTAAAAAAAAAATTAGTTCACTACTTACAGTCCAGAATCTGGACTGTAATTTAGTAAAATCATTTCACATAATTCTGTGTGATGGCAACAGAATGAATTTTTTGCATCTACTTCAAGAAAAAGAGAGCTGTACCATGTATGAAATTTGTTTTGTTTTTATTTTAATGTTTACTAAAGGACTGCACACAAATAATGTGACTGGAGAATAGGAGGGTAGTGGAATTAATGGACATTTGTGTAGTAATGTTGTGATTTCAACATTTCTCCATATAATGTGACTTATATTTTATGATTAACTGCAAAATATCTTAGGTATTTTTTTAAAAAAAATCCAATGTTCTTCATATGTATGGATTATATGATAATCCTTTATCATTTCTTTTTTTCATTGCAGATGGCTAGATTATTTTACCATAAACCCCAGTTTGCAATTCTGGATGAATGTACTAGTGCCGTTAGCGTTGATGTGGAGGGATATATCTACAGCCATTGTCGGAAAGTATGTTTTTCTGTGGTTAATTTTGCATTGCTAGTTTCAGATCTTACTTTAAAGCCATGTAAAAAAAGAAGGAAATATGACTACATTACTATAGTTACTCTAGTTCAACAGACCCTAGAGTTATTAACTAGAATATGTTTTAAAGATGACAAAATAAAACAGCAGAGAGAAAAATCACATGAAGAGTAATGACAGTCTGTTTTGGCAAATTTTTATTACATATTTTTTGTAGAATATAACTTAAGTCTGTCCCTCTCTTCCTGAAGTCTCTCCAACCTGAAGGTAATTTCTCTGAATTAAAGGATGAGAGTAATTTAGGGGGTATCTTGCTCAATAGTAGTAACTGTGGGAGGGATCTCAGAGTTCTAGTGGAAAATCACTTAAATATGAGCCAGCAGTGTGCTGCAGCTGCCAAAAAAGCCAACTCAGTGCTGGGCTGCATTAACAGAGGGATAGAATCAAGATCACATGAAATATTAATACCACTTTACAATGCCTTGGTAAGGCCACACTTGGAAGACTGCATCCAGTTTTGGTCACCACGATGTAAAAAAGATGTTGAGACTCCAGAAAGAGTACAGAGAAGAGCAACAAAGATGATTAGGGGACTTGAGGCTAAAACATACAAGGAACGGCTGCTGGAATTGGGTATGTCTAGTTCAGTGTTTCCCAAACTTGACAATTTTAAGGCATGAGGACTTCAACTCCCAGAATTCCACAGCCAGCAACGCTGGCTGTGGAATTCTGGGAGTTGAAGTCCACATGCCTTAAAATTGTCAAGTTGGGGAAACACTGGTCTAGTTTAATGAAGAGAAGGACGAGGGGGGACATGATAGCAGTGTTCCAATATCTCAGGGGTTGCCACAAAGAAGAGGGAGTCAAGCTATTCTCCAAAGCGCCTGAAGGCAGGACAAGAAGCAATGGATGGAAACTAATCAAGGAGAGAAGCAACCTAGAACTAAGGAGAAACTTCCTGACAGTTAGAACAATTAACCAATGGAACAACCTGCCTCCAGAAGCGGTGAATGCTCCAACACTGGAAGTTTTTAAGAAGAGACTGGACAGCCATCTGTCCGAAATGGTGTAGGGTTTCCTGCCTGAGCAGGGGGTTGGACTCGATGACCTCCAAGGTCCCTTCCAACTTTATTACTATTATTATTATTATTATTATTATTATTATTATTATTATTATTATTATTATTATTTCATTGATTAATAGTCATTGTTTTGGAAAAAGGGGGGAGATAGTGGCTGAGCCAAAAAAAATATATGGGGATTTGATAGAATTAAATCTCCAGTTTCACTCAAAAAAGTTGTTCCTGGACCAGGGGTAGGCCACTATGACATGTGGACTTCAACTCCCAGAATTCTTGAGTCCGCTGTATAGGTTGTAACATTGTCATAGTTGCTAACTCCTGTCCTGGATAGTGAATGGAGGAATATAAGGGGTAAGAGGGCTGACTGGGTATTTTGTGCCTTCCTTCCTTCCATCCTTCCTTCCTTCCTTCCTTCCTTCCTTCCTTCCTTCCTTCCTTCCTTCTTTTCTTCATTCATTCATTCATTCAAATTTATTTATTAAATTTATATGCTGCCCCATCTCACAGTTGAAACTGAGTTGGAGGTGGTCCTGCCCCAAATAGCTGTTTTGTCTTTGTTAGGGCCAAAGCAAATAAGAATTGTGCAGTTGCTGAAGCTGAAGTTGACTATTCACGCACATATTTTCCCATTCGTGGCATTTTGGATTTCTTCTTTGTCTTGGAATAAAAGTTTTAAAAATGGTTAGAATATATTTGTGATGACATAATTATGAAGCCATTTCTGAAAACCGGTCTTCAATTCTGGTGAATTCAATGAAGAAGATTTATACCTCTTTTATCTCTTTAGAATTTAATTTCGGAAAGCCTAAGAAAAGATGACGTGTGAGATATAGCCTCATTTTTAATCCAAGGGTAGAATGGAAAGACAGGATTAGGAGAAGGGAGTGAATGCTTATGTTTCCCATGTAGATTCCCTGTTTCAAATCACCTTACTCCAAGCTGCTATTATTTATTGTAGGGAAAATGTACAAGTATCACAATGCAACTGTTAGTTGCAAAAGAGAATTATGCAATGTAAAATTAAACAGAGCAAAAAGTTTCATCCCAGCACTATAATTCTGATCTAAATGGTCCCTCTTCCGGTAGCTGCTTTTAGAAAAAGGAATACTTTGGAAAATTGGATTATTTTTCTCTAGATCATATAAGGCAGGGGTAGTCAACCTTGGCTCTTTTATGACTCGTGGACTTCAACTCCCAGAATTCCTGAGCCAGCTGTGCTGGTTCAGGAATTCTGGGAGTTGAAGTCCACGAGTCATAAAAGAGCCAAGGTTGACTACCCCTGATATAAGGATTGGCTTTTTTTATTGTTTTGGGTGCCTGAGTGCAGATAGATGTTTAGCAATCTAAAGCTTATTATAACCCTTAAACTGTGTTTTGGCATTTCAGGTTGGCATCACTCTCTTCACTGTTTCTCACAGAAAATCACTTTGGAAGCACCATGATGTAAGGCTCATTTTATTTAAATGAATTTACATATATTGCTTGATTTTAGATATTTTTATTACAATATGTATTTTGGTAAATTTTTTCTTTGCTCTTGAATTTTCCTTTGTAAAGCAAAGTTGTAAACATAATTTTTTTTTTACCTTTATGAAGCTCTTTTAGATTTAGTTCTTTTTCATGATTTTCCTTTATTTCCCCAAGAAAAGAGGGCCACGGTACTTATCACCCAGCCTTTAAACAGATTAATATTTACATTGGCCTGAATGTTCACTGGGATGTCTGACATCAGTGGTTTTTGCCTGTCTCATAAGATCCAATAGAGTTAGCGTGCTTCAGATCTTGTTTATTAAACAATATCATCTTATGGGATCCAGTAGACATAGTTTTCTTTGTCACTAGACCTACCCTTTGGAATAGTTTCCTCTTGAGGACTGTTTAAAATTGTGATCTTGCTCTCCTTAGGACAGCCTTAAAGATCTGGCTGTTGCTACAGACACTGTGGTGGGACATTGCATGAATCAGCATTTTGAAATCTGAGACTGTAAGGTTTAGTTCTTGTGAGGTTTTTTTTCCTCAGCCCTTTTTTTCCTCAGTGCAGCTCTTTTTTATGATTTTTTTTTTAATGATCTGTATTCTTTTTAACTCTTTGTGAGCTGCCCGGTGTCATCGCCAAGTGGGCAGCCTTAGAAATCGATATTGTAAGTAAATAAATGGAAAATTTCACTAAATGTTTTTCCCTTGTTTTTGAGTGTTAAGAGCCAGAGGTTTGCTTAGATTTTCAGTTATATTTCCCCCCCCTAAATTTCTATGTTCAGAGTCATAAATAACCATGCTGTCATTGAAATTTTCTACTGTACTCCTCTGAATCATGTACATTTAGCTCAAGGATAATTAAAGAAGATTGCTGGTTTTTCTGTATTAATATTGCACATCGTGATTGCTCATAAATATAATTAAAACAGTTAAGAGAGGTCACTTTTGCCATTAGTTTGTTGTAGCTAAGGTTTTTTTATATATATATAAATCACTTATTTTAATACCCATTCTTTAATCACCATTTGAAGAATACAGGATTATTATTTAACAATTTGTGAGTTTCAATAATAAGAAGCATTGAATTCATTTTTGAAAGAACGCTTAGGCCACTTGTTTAATTATTTTGGCCACCAGATGGTGATCAAATATCCCCATTTTAATGAGCTCTTTTTCCCAGGAAGATGTCTGAATATGAATTCTTCTAGATGATCCTTATCTAAACAGATGCATACTTTTCACTCTGTAATATCCAAATTTGCTGACTCTGTTTTCTTTCCCCCCAAGTTTTATCTTCACATGGATGGAAGAGGAAACTATGAGTTCAAGAAAATTACTGAAGAAACAGTTGAGTTTGGTTCGTAACCCCCAGCCCTGCCAACAACAGCCATGACTGTTAACAATATTGGACTTGGAAAACGTACATTATGATGTAACAAAGTGACTTGACTTACTCTTTAAATTGATTACTAGGAATACGATAATAAGGTGTCAGTGCATTTATTATGTAGAATATTACTAATTTGTGTTCATGTTGGTTTAATTATTAATATGTTCTAAGAATGTTCTTATTCTTGTGTTTTTTTAAAAAAAAATCTGCCTAAATTAAATTGGGCTTAAATCACTGAAATGTTGATTCATCCTGGGATGTAAACCTGTCTGAAGTCAACTAATTTGACTTCTGTTTGACCATACTTCCTCTGGGGAAGGCCCTTATTAAAATTAGTTTCACTACCTCTTCTGTACCCACTACAATAGACATTAATTTCTATGTCAAATCCTTATATATCAGTTCATTATATGTACTCTTTTCACGATAAGATATTACTGTAACATTTTACAGGGCAGTTGGCCTTTATATTAGTGATGGCTGTGGAGACAGTTCTTGCAGCAATATGCTGCATAGATGTGAAAAAGGACCCTTAGAATTTCTTTGCAAGAGATAAACTCAATCCAACATTCTGTGGCCATTACTAGTCACTATCCTTTCCATTTTTTTTCCTACTCAGCACAAATAAAATAACAATATTCCATTTGGCCTTTATATTCCAATTTTAGAAGGACAAATAAGAGGAATGAGAATGGGGAAAAAATTAAAGAAGAAGGAAATAAAATAATTCCCAAATCCTTGTTATGGAATAAAGATCATGGACATTCTCACTTATGAGAGGTCTGATCCCTTTGTAATATGTAGAATGTAATGTGCAAATTCTAAATGAAATGCCATACATATCTGCCACAAGGATTTGGATTTTTCGGACAAGATATTTGCTTACTGCACATTTTTGTACCTGGCATGTAGGTCTATGATATGTGTATGCATGGGGGGGGGGTTGTTTTTGTTTTTACAAAAATGTAAAGTATGTAATGCCAGAGACACAGCAGTTCAGAGTCACCAAGAAACAGTTCAGAATCTTTTAGAACTATTTTATAGTTATTACTTGAAAAAATGTTTGGTTTTCTGTCAATTACTTTTATAAAAATAATACAACTGCTTAAATATAAATAAGCACTTTTGAAACAGGTTATGTGGTAATACTTGCATATGATGATTATAAATTATTGTCCAGATTTATTGACATAGATGGGACCGGAAGATGTGAGTTGATTAGTCTGGCTACGTAACTGATTATCATTCTTACAAGAATTCTTTAAAAACTGCTACATGACATGATTTTATCTCAACAATATAATATCCATACGCACTTAACATGACGGCAAGCACTACATGCAAAATAAATGTGGTTGGTGTTTTTTCCCCCCTTTGCTTAAAATCAGCATTTGTTCTTAATAATTAGTCAAACATTAATTATCCCTCTTTCACAGGAAATCTAGAATTTGTCAAACTTCCAAATAGGTCACCAGATTTGATATTGTTCCAAAAAGTCAGTGTTTCTAAATGCCATTGTTTTCATGTGTGCTGGGTAAATGGATGGAGAATTGGGTTAGGAGAAATTATCTTGAGAAATGCAAAAATAATTGTTAAATAACTATTTTCAGATTAAATGTTAATTAACCAGTTTTAATTTAAATGTTAAATAACTAACATTGCCCTTTTATAATTGCTTCAATTTTTTTCTAAAAGCTGATATTGGTAATATTAGTTGATAGGAGTTTGCAGACAATGCATCAGAACGTATCATAATCTGAAACAAGCATTCCAAGCAGCGTGATTATGATATCAATTTATAATAAATAAATTGCTTGGAATGGTTGTTTCAGATTGGACAGAAATCTGACTTCAGGAATAAATAAATCTGATCTGAATTTGGTTTCCATGCTTCTGGTGAAAACTTTTTCCATATATGATCTTTTTTTTTTTCTTTGTGTGGCTACTGAAACCAGCTTTCTCAAGAAATTCCTAAGAAAAACTGCTATTGTTAAAATACATATATATCTTTTTATGGGAAATCTGGGCTAAAAGCGAGAAATAGCAAAAAAAAAAAAAAAAGGCATGTGTGTTTTTCTTACTAAATGGAAAGCATATAGCATTTTTTGTCGAAAATCCAGGATTGCCTAATAGCAGCATTTTTCATAGAGTCAGACATTGCATTGCTTGTGGAGTAGAGTTAGTTGTTTACTCTTCAGTCTGTCTTCAGCCCCGACAACCCTAAAATCTTCTCTGAATCTAGAAGATTTTGAGGCAGATAATCTGTTGGGAAGAACTCCACATTCTGTGAAGAAAAAGCATTCCTACTTATGGAAACTCTCCATTGAATTTTACCCACCGGGCACAGTTTTTTTTTAATGTTATCTCTCAGAGCTGATTAACTTCAGTAACTATTAATCAGTGATAGAGCTGGTTGATTTTCTTCAGTGCTACATGAGACCCTTTCATTAAATTCAAGTTTCATAACTTTTATTCAGAGAGCATCAAGAATCAACCTGCCCCATGAGAAAAACTAGTATGAAGGTAAAAGTAACCGGAGCTGGGCTCAAGGGGAGAAAAATTGTTAAGATTATGCTTTTCATCTATAATGGTTAAAGGTTATGAAAAATGTTCCATGACAGTCTTGTCATGGTCATATGTTTTGATTAATACTGTTAACAATTTATTAAACTGGAAATGTTGGTATGATGTAAAAGTCAACAAGAATGAAGCATCGCCATTCTTTATACCATGTTTAGCCTGGTAGTATTTTGTACTGTAGTTGATCACAAGAGACTCTCATTTCAGTGGGAAATAATTGCAGTAATTTGTTATTTTATAGCTTGTAAAGTCAATTAGAAGGAAAGGCATATGTACGATTTTTCTATATAAGTGCCTCTGGATAATAAAATTGACACATATTGACTACCTAGTATTTGCTTTCTTTTTAATTCGTGTCAATGAAAGGTTTTTACAACTGCACAATAGTTTTTTAGAAAGTTTTATTAGTTTATAATATACAGTACAATGGAAATACAAAAGCAAATGGCGGAAAAGATGGGGAAGGGAAAGGGGAGTAGAAAAGTGAGGTAAGGGAGGAAAAAAAGAAAAAAAAGGCATTGACTTCCGATTTTCTTTGGTACAACAGAGTATCAACTTCAAACCTCAAGTTTTTACTTTTACAAAATATTATAAACTAGCCATTTCAGTAATATCAAATCTAGCCATTTCAGTAATATCAAATCTATCTAATTGATTAATTCTTTAATCAGTAAGTAAGTTTAGCCAACTTTGCTTGCTCCATCAGTTTTTGTAACCATTCCTCCGTTGTAGGAATCAATGTAGTTTTCCATTTCTGAGCGTAGAGTAAGCCTGCTGCTGTCAATATATATATAACATCCCAGGTCTTTGTCCATTAGCCCCAAAAGAAAACTCTCTGGTTTTCTTTCTATATTTAGTTTAAGAATTTTCTGTATTAACATATGAATCCTACTTCAATATTTTCTTGCTTTATCACACGTCCACCATAAGTGGTAAAAAAATCCCCCCTTTACCTTTACATTTCCAACATTCATTTGAAATACCTTTATACAGTTTTGATAATGTGTCTGGTGTTAAGTACCAACAATACATTATCTTGTAAAATTTTTCTCTTAGATTATAATTTAATGTAAATTTTAATCCTTTATTCTGCATATTTTCCCATTATACCCAAAATTCCTTACCCACTGTGTTTTACTTGTTCATTTTCCAGATTTAAATTCAATAACATTTTGTAAACTTTAGCAATAATAGGTTCATCACCACCTCACAGTAGGCTTTCCAATTCATTTTTAGCAAAATTAAACCCGTGATTCTTTTTATCTAACTTCAATCTTTCTTTCAATTGCATATCATACCACAAATAGCCGTGCCAACCAAACCTTAATTCCTGGCCTTCTAGGTCCAGTAACCTCTTATTCTGAAGGTTCACCCATTCTTTTAGCCAAACCAAACAACAAGTATTAAAATACAATTTCAAATCAGATAAACCCAAACCCTTTCTTTCCTTAGCATCTTGCAATAATTCATATCTAATTCTCGGTTTTCCCCCTGCCATATAAATTTAGAGATATCCCTCTGCCATTGTTTAAATGGAGTTTCAGTTGCAAGTATTGCTAATGTTTGAAGCAGGAAGAGCCTTTTTGGTAAAATATTCACCTTAATCACAGAAATTCTACCCAATAATGATAAATGCAATTTGTCCCAACTTAATAAATCTTTTTTGATACCATTCCAGAGTGTCAACGTAGTTATTTTTAAACAAGCTTGTATTTGAATTTGATAACATAACCCCCAAATATTTCACCTTTTTCTCAACTCTAAAACCCAACTTTTTAGTCACTATATCACCATCCTGTGCAGTCATATTCTTAATCAACAGATATGTTTTCTGCTTATTAATTTTAAAACCAGCCAAGGACCCAAACTCATTTAGTTTCCTCATCAAGTATTCTATGTTATTTTTGGGGTCTTGCAGAAATATCACCAAACCATCGGCAAAGGCCCTCAATTTATAAACTTCCTTCTTAACATTTATACCTTTTATTTTCTCGTCTTGCCTAATGTCTTTATTCAGGACTTCCAGCACCAAGATAAACAACAGTGGAGGCAGCGGACAATTGTACAACTGTACAGTTGATTGTCACGTATAGTGATTCAGCTTTCATAATTTTAGGGGCTGATCCCAGTTAAAGCGAAAAATTATCAAGCCTAAGTTACAAACATTATGGAGTCCATATTTCTCTGTGCGTGCCTGCTGCTTTTCCATTTTGTAACGCAGGATCCAGTCAACAGGAAAACCAAGAACCTACTATAAAATAAAGAGCTTTGGTTTTGTTTCAAGGCCGCTTTTTAAATCCAGTCTGATTGTAATTCCTGTTTTGTTTGTTTATTTGTTTTTGCTTCATGGTAAAACGAAGTAAGAGGAACTTACAATTTGGAAAATGTATATTATGTGAACATGAATCAGTCCAGCTGCCTTCAGCTTGCTAAGAACATATTTTGCTCTAATCTAAGACACAGTAACTAATTTCATACATTATGGTATATTATGGTTTGTTTCATTTTATATCCATGTTGCTTGACCTCAGCCATTGAGTTTATTTCATAAAACATAAAACCCTTGTTCCATGTAATTTTTGAGCCTAGCCAATATGATAAGTATGTTTACAATAAGTAATTTACAAAGGTTTTTTTCTGATTGCACCTGTTGTACCTAGTTGTGGTTGCCAGTAAGGGGCATGACTAAAGTGTTAATTTGACATCTGGTTAAGAGTGATTGTTAAAAGGATTTTTTTAAAAGGAGCTAACATTTCACATCTTATGAGCAACTACAGCATTGTGGTCTCTGATTGCAACATGACAAGGCTTACTGTACATAACCGTTTTTCTTTTTCACACACAGCACATACACTACTACATTCCTTACACATGAAAATCATTTCTTCTAAGCTGTTATCATACACACACATACACGTATGTATGTATGCATATATAAAATATGTGAGTGTAAACCATAATACATGCATACACACATATATTTGATACTCCTTTTGGGTTTTTTTAACCAGTAAGCAGAGTGACAGGCATATATTTTAGCATTAATTAATGGAATTGTTTTATGTAAGAAACTTTAATAGCTTTGATGAGTTTCCATGCCTATGATCTCAGTATAGCAAAGCTGTTGATGAATATTTAAGTCCCCTTTGGTTTTTATTACCATAATGGGAGATAAAGCAGACTTGCAGAGGACAAGTTTATATTGTAAATACTTGGCATTGAACTGCGCAGCTAATAAAACATAAGGGGGGGAAATGATTTATATGGAATTAATGGCAGATTATGCAAGCAGGTTTTGAACATGACGTACAATTTCACTATTTAGAATAGGAAAGGGGAATCAAAATTCTGATAGGGCTAGAGCCCATTTTTGAATATTATGGTCAACATGCAAGCAGGTTTTGACTGGAGCAATTTTATACTTGCTATTAAAAGATATTAGCACTACATATCAATTTTTTTTCTTCAGACGATATATTCATGGCATGTTAAAGCACTCCCTATCATTCATGCCTGTTCAAAGGTCCTGTTTATTATAATGGCTGCAGTTTTCCATTCATTTTAAAAGCCTCGCTTGGCAGATTATCCAATGGAGTCGGAAGAGTCAAGCGTAAAATTCTATTGATCCTCAATCTCAGGATGAAAAGGGGAAAAAAATGGTTTTATTTCTCTGTTCACTTTATTAAACATAGTCACTTTGGGGTTTTTAAATTAATAATTAAGGGGGATGTCAGACAGTTTTCTACTTCCTATAGACCAGTGTTTCTCAACCTTGACAATTTTAAGGCATTGTGGACTTCAACTCCCAGAATTCCACAGCCAGCAATGCTGGCTGTGGAATTCTGGGAGTTGAAGTCCACATGCCTTAAAATTGTCAAGGTTGAGAAACACTGCTATAGACTTTTATCCTTTTTAAGCAAGTAATATAGCATTATATTATATTAGGGGTTAGATCTGTCAAAGTTCACATCTGATCATAGCTAAGCAATCAGATTGCTCTTGCCTGAGATGAATAGGGATGACAGTTGAGATCTAAACCCTGAAACTGCTAATAATTAGATTGGGCCAAAAAAAAAATCTATTTTATAGGCAACTGTAAAAATAACAGACAAACCGTCAATTTAAACCAATGCTATTCCATGCAATATATTCACTTTCTCGACATTATTATAGAAGTACATACAAGTACTATGCCTTAGAGACACAAATTGTTCCAAGTATTTATTGGATTTTAGTGTCTATTAAACATTTACTACAAAAAGAAATCTTGTATTTCAGGAAAGGTAAGTGTGTTATGGCTTTTATCTGTTTAGACATTAGGGAGAAGGTTACAAGTAAAATGTAAGTCAGGCACTTCTCATTCAACCAATAAACAAGTGAAAGATAAAAGAAAAAAAAAGTCTTAGATTGGTGGCAGAAGTAATTTACTATAAGAAATAGCAATGCTACAACTTGGGTTAGACCAGTGGTTCTCAACCTGTGAGTCAGGACCCCATTTGGGGTCGAACGACCATTTCACAGGGGTCGCCAAACAACACAGTCCGCCATTTTTTTCCCCTTTTCCTTAGCTGTGCTACTCCCTTTTATTCTATTGGCTTTTGAAAGCCAATAGAATAGACTCTTGAATAGAGTCTAATTCTATTGGCTTTCAAAAGCCAATAGGAATTGTCCAGGCTGTCTCTGCCCTGCTGAGCCTGTCAAAAGTCCCATTCTGCAAACGGTGCTGCACCAGTTGAGCAGTCCTCGACTTACGACCGGTTGAGTAGTCCTCAACTTACGACCGGTTGGGGGTCGCGGCATTAAAAAGGTTGAGAACCACTGGGTTAGACATTGATGTTTTTCTTCCCCCTGACTTAATGGCAGGTCCGTATGAGCTGCTGAAAAACTGCAAAAGTGGACCATTCTCTGCCATAAACCCAGATTACCAATTCTGTCTCCATATTTTCATTGGCAACAATACTTACGTTTCTGCTGCTATTAGGCATAATATCCACTCATCTTTCCAATATGATATCTGCTATCATTTTCCAGTATGCCAATTCATTCTATGTAAGACAATTTTCTGCTGCAAGTATAAAAGAATAAATGTATATATAATCCAACATCTGAAGTGGCGTTATGCAAAAACAAGCAGGAAACTTTTCTGAAACATTCCATTATTGATGGCTATCCTTGTGGGGGGAAAAGATTCTAGTATATAATGATTTCTCCCCCCCCCATTTTTTTTTTTACCATGCCTGTTTTTAATGGAATACAATTTTTGCTTTTTGTTGATTAAAGCTGCTTTTCCATCACTGGAGCTTAAAAACAGGAAATGCTAGATCAAC